TAGCTGAGACATGCCGATCTCGTCATGCAGGCAATCGTCCCACTGGTCGTGCTGTCTGTGGAAGCCTGGGGGGTCGTCGTCGTCCTCGGTTGCAGGGTCCTTCCCAGCGCTATGATGTGGTGGTGTACACACAGCGGAAGTGGCACCTGTCACCGGCTGAGAAGAGCCGGCTGGTGTCCTCAAACAGGCTGAAGACGTGCCACCCGACCACGCCGAGAGTGGCGGTTCCTCATAGGGAGTATCCATGCAGCTCAGCTTTTGAGCTAGCTTCCTGCAGCTCTTCTTCACCTTCTACATAAATAGACGTTAAAGTTAGTGTATTTCCTAAACGCATATACACTAAAGAAACATTTTTGAAACGGATCAGTTTATGTTTACCTCCACAAAAGCCTCGAGAACGCCTAGCACATGCCCTCTAGACTCGTTAAGCCGGAACGCTGCTTCGTTGGACAGCCTCGACAATTGTGTCGCCTGGGTACAGAAACGCGGTTCAACAATTTTAGTATACATACTTAATAACAAATGGATAACAAATTGTACTATTCAAGTATCTTATCACGTATCTTTGTAGCTCTCTGTAGCTGTGTGTCCTCTCTAGTGGCAACGTCGTACACATCTTCGATCACATCTTCCTTTGAGTCCTCGTCAATCGCCTTCTCAGTGTACGGGGGCTTGATATGTGTCCTCGTAGACCTGTGAAGCCAGCGCAGGTACTCGTCGAAGGTGTGCTGATCGTGTGGAGGACCCGCATGGACCGATTGCCGTTCCCTGGTCTCCCACAGGTGGATGTGCGCGTTGTGTCACGCGTCATTCCTTGGTCTTGTACCTCTTCCTGCGGTCATACCTGCAACAAAACGATGTTAGTTGTACCACACACACCTCTGAATTGTAGCTTTGTTATTAATCGATAACGCACCCATGCAATCCTTTATTGGTGGAGTAAAGCGGTGGTGGGCAGCGTGTCATTCTTCCAAACTATCTGCAGACCCTGACGGGCAAGTGAATCTCGACCACGTGGAAGAAAATAAGAGGGACATTGCAGCGATACACCTCTGACTCATCCCTAGTGACGGGACTGAGATAGTACTGGAGCTCCGGAGCATCCCAAAGACACCAATGCACCTGAACATTTCATAACTGAGTGAGGCTATGATATAGTGTGCATCGAACAAGACACAGATATGATAGTAAAGAGAGCGTAACCTGGTGCTGTGTCAGGACGTCGAGAGCGTCCGTGTACTCCCTGTACTTGCGCCTCGCATTTCCTCTAACTAACTCTGATTACGTCCAGATAAACAGAGCTGTAGGGAGTGTATCATGCCCGTTCCATTGCTGCATTGAACACGATAATGAATTAGCCATTAATAAACTCATCATATGTAACCATATTGAAGAATATAATGAACCGAAGTACTTAACGGTAAACCAGTACTAAGGGGCCTTCGAACGGGCCATCGTTCCCAACACCAAACCTGGAGTAGGTACAAGCAACCCCCAAGGTTCGCATACCCTGAGGTGCGACGACAGGCAACACATAGCTGTCGATACGTCCATGCCAGGACTGTGCTGCCCCAGCTGTACGCCGCTATGTTCTCCCACGACTGCCGTAGTATGTCAAGGAAGATCCAGCTGATGGTGTTGTCCGAGACGTCTGGGAAGAGGAAAGCACCAAGAAAGTGCCAGAGCCACACTCGAGCAAACCTGTTGATCTGAGCCTCCTCAGCCTGTGGGTCCAAGTAATCAAAGCGCTTCGTGATCTAGGACGACGAAACACCGGAACTTTTCCTAAAATTGACCAAAGAAAATAAGACCCGATGGCTGCAGGAAAGCAATGCAAGTATTAAAGAGCCTTGAATTTCTCACTTATTTTTCTTGGAAGCCTCGTTGTCCGGTGGAAGAAAGCCAGTAAACTGAGCCACCAGCTCCCTCCAGTGATCGTTGTCAACTATCCCTGTCACTGAAAGTCCCCCCAACCGAAGGCCAAAAATAGCCTTCACGTCCTGCATGGTCAAAGTCATCTTGCCACAAGGTAGGTGGAACGTGTGGGTCTCAGGCCTCCACCTGTTATAAGAATAGAACGACTGTTAGTTGCCTCAAATTTGTTACAAGAATGTTTACGTACAAATAAGGCACTTGCACCTATCTACAGCTGCAGTAAGTAGTGCTGGGTCAAAGGACAGAAGACCATAGTTGACAACATAGATATGCTCGAGGAAGCCGGCACGCCATATGTACGGCGCGTAACGCTCATCCCACTGGTGCGCCCTGGTGTGCGTGCGGGGCCTCAAAGGAGACAAGGCCACCTCTGCGTCGTTGTCACTTAAGATGTGTGCTCGGTGCTAGTCGTCGTACTCCACCTCAAGAATGGGGTACAACGGGTGCTGCGTGGGAAGGGACCATCCTGTTTCAAATTGATAAACAAAGGGTTAGAGTATTCAAATTAACAAAATTCAAATTAACATTATGTAGCATTGCGAAATTTAAACTAGTTGTTATGCAATACGAACATAATATGAAAGCACATGTATATATTCAAAGTAACATTAACAGACATATTAAACAACTTAACTAGAATATAAGCATTTGACGAAACATCATCAAGTCATCAAAATCGACGTATCACACACTAATAAGTACCGACATTTGAAAACTAGTATCTATACCTAAAATCCCTAACTAAAAAACTAACTATAAACTAAATAATAAATACATAATCAATCCATAAACCCAAAATCCTAACTATACTACAACACACAACCTCAAACCTAAAAACTACCTATCTAAATCGCAAACAAATTCACTAACCTAACTATACTAAATCACTAACTATCCTAAATCACTAACTATCATAAAACCCTAACCATCCTAAATCACTAATTATCCTAAATCAATAATAATCAAAATAAAATAAAATCGAGAGGGAGTACCTTGATAGGAGCGGGCGGCCTTGACGCTTGGGCGTTAAATGTGGCACAACGTATGGTGACGGCAGTGGCGGCCGCCGGCGGCCGGCCGCGGCGCGTCTGAAGGCTGATCCATCCGCTATATGGGCGGCCAGCGATGGGGCGCTATGGCAGGTGGCGGGCGGCGTGAGTGCGTGAGCGGGGGGGGCTCGCCCGCGATATTTATGTGCCCCTGACGCGCCATGCTCCGTGGCACGGCACTGCCACGCCAAGATGGGTGGTGCGGCAGGCCCTGCCATGTCAACCGTGACCCTTTCCGGTCGTCTCCACGTCAGCTCCCTGCCGCGTCACCATGCATGACGCGGCATAGGCATTTGGCCACGCCATGGCAATAGGCGCGGCCAAAAGTGTTAGTTTAAAAAAACAGAGAGTGTTAGATTTAATATTAGTTTTTAAAAAGTATTAAAATTAAAAAAATCCGCATATGCGGGGACCATGTGAGCTCACTCTGTTTCACACGCCCGCATGCACGTGGGGACTGGTCCCAATCACTTGCCCCACCTACGGTTGCGCGTCGCTGAGGTGCCTGCCGGTCTCAGGTGCCGGCACGGTGACCCACGGCTGCGGAGTCCTATGTCCGCAAACCACCGACGCCATTGCAACATGTGCCCCATAGATCTACTTTTGAAACATCCATATGAAACACTTATAACGTACGCCTAAAATATACGAAACACATAAAATATACGTTTGAAACATATGTCTATAGCCATAGCAATATATGTAACATTCCGATCTAAGTTTGCAACATTCAGATGAAATAAATTATGCAACATCCAGATATACTTCGACAATATCCTGATGAAACATTTGAAACATACGTCTGAAACAAGTGAAACACTTAAAACATATGCTTGCAACATAAAACATACGCTTGCAACATACGTATATAGCCATTGCAACATGCATAACATCCAAATGAAATACTTAAAAACATACTCTGGTCGTCGGGGTGGGAGCCGGCGGCGTTCGATCACCACCAGCACCGGGCGCGCTCGTGCGTCCCCTTGGCTCGACCGGGGACGACCTGAGGCACCCGAGCACGTGCGCCCGGCGGCCATCATTGGCAGGGGCGGTAGCAGTGGCGACCCATGGTGGCGACGCATCTCGGCGGCGCTGGTGTTGGGGAAGAGGCCGGGAAGGCGGCGTAGTCGGCTTGGGTGGAGGAAGGAGGCAACGGTGGCGACATGGAACTCTGCTGCTGCCAACGGATATGAGATAGAGACCGAGAGATGGAAGGCCAAGAATGGGACGTGCAGCACGAGCGGGAGCGAACGGATGACGCGATAGTGAGTGGGAAATTTCTACGGCACGGGCAGGAGCGGGCCGTGTGAGACGTCTAGAAGGACGGATGCACTCAACCAAGCATTATCGTTTTTTCTTCTTTTTGTCTGTTTCTACTTTTCCGCATTCAGTTCCGTGACTTTTTTCCTTCTTTTCTGTCTCCTTTAATCTACATCTATTTCTATATTTGTATTGAGATTCCTTCTTTTCTGTCTCCTTTAATCTACATCTATATCTATATTTGTATTGAGATTCCGTTACCACTCATGGGCATTTTTTGCTAGTATTACTAATTTCCGATCATGCATGTTCACACACATGGATATGGCATAAAAGTGAATATGTTGATACTTATACATTATTGTGTGAGTTTTATACATACATAATCATAACTTAATTTTCACAAGTACCGTATTCCAGTGTTATTTTTTAAACAAAAAAATGTGTAGGGAAAGGAGTTATGGAAATTAAACGGTGTCTACTAGTTGACGCACATAACACGAAGAATTGCTTAGCTTGCGGCGCGCCATTCACATTGCCGCTGTTTTCAGTAAAGCATTAGAGAAGTTGCAAGCCATAGGTAACTTTGCATAGTAGATAGATTTCACGACCAGTACAATAGTGATATAAGAACAAGTGAACAAGATTCTAAAAGCTCAGTTAACATCCTAGCAAACGGTACAAGCGGAACATCGCATCATGAAGCCACAAGGATGACAAATCAGGTTAACTGATCTCGCTTCCAATGCAAGTTTATTGCAGTAGTCGGGGGTCGTCCATAAGACCATAACACAATTGCCTAATCCCTGAGGCCGCAGCTCCACCCAGATCCACACGGAGCCTCTTTTGCATTTTACTTCCATGCAACACAAGGCAACCTGCACGATGGTGATTGCAGTAAGATGATGCAAAAAGCAAAATAATAAAAGGCACAATATTATTGACATAAAACATAAAATTTCAACCTGCCTGACCATGATTGAGCAGACCTAGAAATTACCTTTATATCTAAAACTCATATGTAGATTAGAGCTAATTTAAGTGCTATAATAATGTTTGGGCATCAAAGAAATGCCTAATTGATCAACTAAGAAATATAAATTTTAAAAGAAGACTGGTTGGTTGCGGATAGGACCACTACATGGTATGTATCCAAACTTAAACCTATTCAGGTTAAACCCATACTTAGGAGAATCGAACCATTGCTGTTTGCAAGCCAATACTAATCATGGTGCGGCCACAATTGAAGAAAGTACTCCCTCCGTCGATAAAGCATACAATTCTAGGTCTAGTCAAGTCAAGCTATCTTAACTTTAACTAAGTTTACAAAAAAAAAAATAGAATCAACATTTATAACTTCAAATAGGTATTACTATTAAAATATATATTCCATGATGAATCTAATAATATATATTTAATGCTAAATATTAGTACCTTTTTATACAAATTTGGAAAGTTTGAATGAACACTGTTCTAGAATTGTATCTTCTGTTACATTAAAAAAAAATGTATCCTTTGTGGGTCAGAGGTAGCACGTGAGAATAGGCAAAATATATGATGGCCTTCCTTTAGCCATAAGGTGTAGAGTAAGAATAGACAAAATGATCTATTCGGTCAAACTTACTCTGCATAATAGAAAAGGCTACTGGCTACTCACCCTAACTTTAGAGATACATCCGAACCATCATCATTGTCCTGTGAACTTCCAGAGTGCAACGCAGTCATCACTGATTCAGAGGATTGCCCATCTTCAGCAATAACATTTTCAGTATCAGCAACTGCTTGGTTGCCAGCTGGGGGTATCTGGGATACCTGTGTTCAGGTATAAAATTGAAATGCAAATATGTGTTCAGATCATCAGATGGATCCTTCTGAAAGAAACGAAGGCTAGCTAAAGAAGTGAAGTTACTTGATTCCTCAGTTGCATGTTCTCCTCTGCCAGCTGTGTACTCTGCAGTAAAGCATGGGAAAAATTAGTGTCTAACTTGCAATAGTATTTAGGAAAAGTAGGAGGAACCTACTGAAAACATATTAATTATTATCGCATTTAAACCAAGGAGACATAATATCAATAGCAAGCTTTGTGCGTATTCTTAAACTAACGAGTGTCATTTGCAAGAAAACAGATTCCCTTCTTCTGTCGATGTGCAAGGCAGGTTTGGTCCTGGCTCAAACGTCCTCATACCCATGATCTTCTCCGAAGCAGCAGAACTCTGGGATGTTTGGGGCATGGATTGTGCGACAGCAAGAGTTCAATCCACGGTGACATGTTATCATCAAAAGAAAAATCCATGGTGATAACCTCCGCTCCGTGGAACCTTTTGGAAGACTTTCATGCCAATGATGTCACCACCAGCCAAATCATCAAGAATGTGGCCTCTGATCTCGCCCCTTGGTCACACTGGACCAAGGCCACCACTCACTCCACCATTTCTAATTTGGAGAATGTTGTTTGAGAATGTAACTTAGCAGCTAGTGTTTTTTGCTTTTTGCTCTTGGAACTCTCTCACTATCAGAACTTGTATGTTTGGACCCCAACATATGTTTATAAAAAGTTCAGTGGTAATCGTCTGCCGTAGTTCTGTGCCAAAAAACGATTTCATCTGCTAATGCAATATTTGAACAGCTTTACACATCAGCATGAAAACCTCTATATTCTTAAATTGAGATAAGAGCGTTCACTTTGAGATAACTGTCCTAAAATTAAAGGCATGAATGTTTCTGTTGAATTGCAATAGAATGAGTGTAGTTGATGTAGTTTGCAATCGGGTTTTTTCTGTAAACTAAAAAAAGTCTTATCACGGAAATGTGTTTAAAACGAAACAACATCGCTTGCCCCTATGAGGGTTGGTGTATGCGTTTCCCAAAAGCAAGAGAAAAAAGTTAGCACTGCAATTCCACTTATGTATTTTATATATTCATTAAAAGAATCTCAGTTGTTAAATGTTTACTACTGTATCAGCGTATCACAATCCAACAGCTAACAGAACATTAACTATATGTAAGCTAAGCAATCGTTATCACTTAACAAAGGTGATAGCTATCTTATGATATCTTACAAGAATTAGGTACAGCAAGCTAGCGTTCCACGAATAGCCAATATAATGGTCCTTTAGAGGTAGAATATCATCTTGACTATTGATGTATTTAATTATTTAAACATCTACATTCACTCAATCCTTATTTCATACAAATGGTTTAAGTATTCTAGACTAGTTCCAGATTCCAGTATTTGATGAGTTGGATCCTGTATTGGCAGCAACCATTCACTAGATAAACCAAAGTAACAAATATGCTATTACAATTTACAAGATAAACGTAGTGGATGTAACAGATCATAGCTAAAGCATCTAGTAGTTCACAAAAAAAATAGTTGACCTTAAACTACAGAAGCTAACCTATACATGAAAATACTACGATGCAACAACTAATCAACCCATTTATTGTTCATTACCTTCCGTTCCAGGTCGCTGATCTGTTCCAAGAATTGTTGATCCTGCGATCATATGTCCTATCAAATATTTGCTAAAGCCAAGCCTTACTTAAAGAAAACTGACATAGCAACATGTTTAACAGCCATACCTTTGTTTGAAGCACCCTGTGCAGACCAGTTTCCAGGTTCTTCTCCAATTGATGGAGTTCTTCAACACTCAATCCCTCAAGTTCTTCACCTCTCATCCGCCTATAAAGAAAACATGAGGCATCATAAACATATGCATTGAAGACTATTTTTTCCATGTATCATGTATAAACAAGAAATCAGATGTACCTGAGTCGAAGGCTTGCTTCCACAAGTTGCTCATTCAAATTTGCGTATTTGCTATGTTCTAACTGAAAAGATATGGCACGACTGTCAATATCAGCAACAAAATCAACATGCCAGTATGCCACAAAACAACAGGCTTATGTCATTTTTTATATTAAAAAAAGAGCGTCGAAAATTCATTTATTGCACGTTCTCAACTACATGGTTATGTTCAAAAAAAAATTCCAAAACCAATAGAGTTCAAAAAATGACTTAAAATCTTGTTGGATTAAAAAATTATATAAAAAATAGTAAATGCACTATTCATTTTTCTTCCTGTCAAGATAGACGATTAATAAGCCAAATAATCCCTCCACTTTATAAGCAATGATCCATCAAACATAATTTTGTGGTCTTACCATGCTGTCCACTTAGTATGCTGATAATGTTATTGCCATCAGGTGATTAAACAAAATAAAGGAGTTAAATAAAGGATAATTATAGTGTTTCGTAGCTGATTCAAGTCAAGACCAAAAAAGAACATCATTTGAACATGCTGCATGTCGTCATGGAGCAATTATTGTACAGCTGGAACAAATGGAGTTTTTCAAAACAAAACAAAATTCAGTGAAACAAATTTTAAATGTTATTAACCCAGATAAAGACAGCACATTATATGAGGATTTTAACCAGCCAGACCTTTGACATAAAATGACCCAATTTGCAACGTATTGTTGGTCCCTCGGCTGCCCTGCACAGGTAAGCAGTAAGCTTACCAGCACACTCACTCACTGTGGCTAGAGGTAGAAGAAGATATTGAGAACAGCTCAAGTCCAGCGCTGGCCGAAAGCTCTGCTTCTGGATGTGGCAAACTGAACTGCCTTCACTGAGTTACAGTGGGAAGCTATATATACAACTCTACCCATCTAATCATAGTACACAGACATGTCGATCGCCATGTCTGCTCTGAGAGACTAGATGTGACAAATTAGGATGACTTTGGCGCTGTCCCTCTTTGTGGCTACAATGCGATAAGGGAGCCTTTCGGCGCGCCGCCCCTGCCCACAGGGCTATACATGCAAAGCGGCCAGGGGAGCCCTTTTCAAATACCGCCCGCCTGCAGCCGTGCGTCTGAGAGGAGAGCAACAGATTACTTTACAATTCTTCCCCTAATCCTGCTGCTAACCCTAGAACCTCCACCATGCCGATCATCTTCTTCAGCTCCGTGAACCGAAGACGGCCAAGCGGCTTGGTGAGGACGTCCGTGATTTGCCGACCAGTTTCGACGAACTCGATGACGATCTACCCTCTATCGACACAGTCCCTGAGGAAGTGGAACTTGACGTCGATGTGCTTGCTCCGGTCGTAGAGAACCGGATTCTTCGCGAGGGCGATGGCGGATGGTTATCCACCATCGCTCTTTGGTGGATGAGCTTCCACACCGTCGGCTTGCCCAAAGCAGACGACCGACGCAGCCCGACACGCGCCGGCACGCCGCGCCGCCCGCCACGCATTCCGCCGCGCGACGGGATGACAGCGCCACCACCTTCTGTTTCAGCGACAACCATGAGATTGGAGCTGACCCGAGGAAGACAAGCACGCCAGAGGTGCTCCGCCGTCCGTCGATGTCCCCCGCCATGTCTGCATCGCTAAACAAAGTGAGCTGCAGTCCACTTCCGCCGATTTTGGGGAAGACGATCACCTGATCCACCGTCCCCTTGACGTAGCACAACAGCCGCTTCACCGCGGCCTATTGATCCTCTCGGGGATCCTCCATGAAGCGACTGATGTAGCCCACGGCGAACGCAATGTCCGACCCCGTGTGGACTAGGTAGCGCAGACCGCCGACGATGCTCCGGTAGAGTGTTGCATCTACCTTCGCCACGCCATCGGCCTTCGCTGTCGACGATCCGCTCCTCCATCGGAGTCACGCACGGCTTGCACTTCACCATGCCGCTCGCTCCGCTCAATAGCTTCATATGCACACGCTCTGACCGAGCGTGAGCGCCTCCTTCCCCTGTCTCACCTAGATGTCGAGGTAGTAGGAGAGCGCGGCGAGATTGCTCTTTTGAAAACGAGCCGCCATCTCGCACTTGAAACTGTCGATGTCCTCCGCACGCGCGCCGGTGACGATCAAGTCATCCACATACACGCCGACGACAAGCACCTCCTTCCCCATCGCCACGTGCGCGCGCGCGTTTCGATTCGCATCAAGTGAACCCAAGCTTCGCCAACAGAAGTCAAGCTTAGCGTTCCCCTTCATGGGCTCGCCGCAAAGACGACGAGCACCTTGCGCCTTGACGGCGAAACCCGAAGGTTGCTCGACGAAGACCGTCTCCGCCACCGCCGCCGAGGAGGGCGGCGATTGTCCGTGTGATGGACGCGCCCGGTCCTTCGCCGCCGCCAAAGCCGAGCGCTTGATAGACTCCACGCGCTACCGGGCGCAAAGACTTCCTCGAAGTCGATGCCCTCATGGCCGACAAAGCCTCGACGACGAGGCGCGCTTTGTGCTTAACAATGGCGCCAAGGCCGTCGTCCGCTTGACCTTACACACACTTCCAGCCGACGGACAAAGATCCTAGAGGTGGATCGACGAGCTCCCAAGTCTCGCTTTTCCGATCGATCACCTTGATCTCCTCCAACATCGCCCGTCGCCAATTTGCATCGCGCTTTCCAACCGCGAACATGGGTGGTTCCTTCTCGCAGACCGACGAGACGCTCACGGGTTATTAAGCGGTGACCCGCCAGCTCGAGGATCTGTGCGCACGACGATGTCGTCCGGCTGCGGAATCAAGACTCACCGTCGTGGAAGGCATCCACGAACTCGGTGATGTCGCTTGGAAGTGTGGCGAACTCGATCGACGTCGATGGAGTCCCCCTGTTCGCCGGAAGTGGTTTCACGACACTGGAGTGCTCAAAGACTCCCACCATGATGCTTGGCACTACTCCTGGACCGCTCGTCACCACTCCTGGAGTGGTTGGCACCACTGCAGGAGTGCTCGACACTAGTCTTGGAGTGGTCGGCACCACTGCAAGACTTCTTGGCTCCGCTATGGGAGCGTTCGACACCCATCCTGGAGTGGTCGGCACCACTGTAAGACCGCTCGGCACCACTCCTAGAGTGCCCGACACCCCTCTCAGAGTGCTCGGCACCGCCCCATGAGTGCTCGGCTCTGTTGCTGGAGTGGTCGCCACCTCCTCTCCAACATCTCCACCACCGTGGATGACCAAGTGCTCGACGACGAAAGTGCTGGTGAAGCCGCTAGCTTCCCCGTGCCCGGACTGTCCCAGTCCCAGGCCGCCTTCTCGTCAAACACGACGTCGCACAAGACAACCACCTTGCCTCCGCGTGGGTCGAAAAGCCGGTACGCCTTGGTGCCCTCCTCGTAGCCCAGGAGCACCATCGGCGTGCTCCTGTCTTCCAACTTGCCGAGGTGAGGCTTGGTGTTTTTCACATGGCCCACGCAGCCAAATGTTGTGAGGAAGGACACATTCGACTTGCGTCCATGACAAGCCTCGAACGGCGTCTTGCCTTCAGGGCCTTGGTGGGCGCGCGGTTGAGGATGAACACCGCCGTGGTCACCGCCTCTACCCAGAACTTTGTAGGCATGCTTTTGGCCTTCATCATGGATCGAGCCATACCGACCGCCGTCTGGTTCCGCTGCTCCACCACGCCATTCTGTTGTGGCGAGTACGGTGCGGTGTGGTGTCGCACCACACCCTGATCCGCGCAGTACACAACGAACTCCACCGAAGTGAATTTGTCGCCACGATCAGTCCGTAGCACGCGCAGCTTCTTGCCGCTCTCCGCCTCCGTGCGCGCCTTGAACTTCTTGACCGCTTCCGCTGCCTCGGTCTTGCTGGTCAAAAGTTGCAGCCACATGAACCGGCTGCAGTCATCCACCAGCAAGATGAAGTACTTGCACCCACCGTGCGTCGCCGGCGTGATCAGCCCGCAGAGGTCACCATGGACCAACTTGAGGGCCTCTGCCGCGCGGTACTTCGCCGTCTTCGGGAGCAGCAGCCTTCTTTGCTTCCCGACCAGGCAGCTGTCACACAGCTCGCCTGGGTGCTCGATATGAGGCAGCCCAGTCACCATCTTCTCCAGCCGACCAAGAGCGTCTTAGCTGAGATGGCCATACTGGGCATGCCACAGCCATGGCTCCTCCGTGTGCCGTGCAGCCAAGCAGATGGACTGCTCCACCTTCAAGTCGAGCAGGTACAGCCAGTTCCGGGACCTCTCCACCTTGGCAAGAAGCCGCTGCTCCCAGTCCCTGATGCTGAGGACGTCGTCCTTGATCGGTACCTCGCTGTCGCGCTCATCCAGCTGGCCAATGCTGATGATGCTTGAACGCAGCTACGGGATGTAATATACATCCGTCAGCGCGCGGTGTTCGTCATTCTGGCACATGAAGATGATGGTGCCACGCCCTCGGATCGCCACCCTTGAGCCGTCACCGAACTTCACTGTGCAGGTCACGTTGCCGTCGAGCTAAGAGAAGGCTTTCTTGGAGCCCGTCATGTGGTTGCTGGCGCTGGAGTCCAGATACCACCGTTGCTCCTGCTCGCCGCCCACACGTTCGAGGTGGACTTGGACGCGCGGTTCATCGAGGTTGACTGCCTTCAGAGCCTTGCCGTGCCCTTCCACCGCCATCACCTCTCCCTTCTCCTTGACCTCAACGTCGTGCAGTGCACAGAACGTCGCCATCAGGAGAGTGGTCTCATCATCCTCATCAGCCTGTGCTAAATGAGTCTCAGCCTTCTTCTCCTGCTTACGATTTGGGCACTCCTTTGCCTAATGGCCCGTCTTCCCGCAGCGCCGGCAGGCGTTGGGGTAGACCACCTTCGAAGAAGCCTTGCCGCAGCGCTTGCCATCGCAACCGCGGCTGGAGGAGGCTTCTCCGGTCTTCTCCTTCATCCAGGCTGCCCACTTCTCTATCAGCAGCAGCTTGCCGCTGTCCGTCGTTGTTGTGGCCTGCTCCATGTGCTCGTCCACCGCCCGCAGACGGCCTGTCACATCCTCAATGGTGAGGGTGGACAAGTCGAGCATCGTCTCTATGGAGAGAGCGATCTAGATGTACTTTACCGGCACGGAGTGGAGGTACTTGGAGACCGCGTCTTCTTCGTCGATGGTGACGCCGTGGCTCCTCAGCTTGCTGATGAGCAACTGCAGGCGGAGGGAGAAGTCCTCCATCGACTCGCCATCCTTGAACTTGAGGTTGGCGTACTCCTTCAGCAGCTGGGCCATCGTCTTCTTAGCGCGGTCGGAGCCGACACGCATCGCTGCAATAGCCTCCCACGCCTCCTTAGCAGAGTTCTTCGCCCCCAACGGCTCCCTGTACTCCACTGGCACAGCAGTGAGGATAGCCTCCAACGCTGACATGTCGTCTTCGTTGTCGGTGCCCTGAGCTTGACCTTCATACGCTGACCGGTTGGCCTGCCGCACTGTAGCCACAACAGGAGCCGACGCCTAAATCAACCCTACTGTCACATCTAGTCACTATAACAGCATGGCAGCTTGGCATGTATGTGTGCTAGGATTAGATAGGTGGAGTTGTATATATAGCTTCCCACTGCAACTCAGTGAAGACAATTCAGTTTGCCACATCTAGAAGCAGAGCTTTCGGCCAGCGCTGGGCCTTGTGTTGTGTGTGTGACCTGTTCTCAATATCTTCTTTTACCTCTAGCCATAGTATGTGAGTGTGCTGGTAAGCTTACTGCTTACCTGTGCACGGCAGCCGAGGGACCAACACATATTACCCACGTTGCATCTGTCATTAAGTACTACATACAACCTAGCATTAGATTAGAGAAGAATTGTACATACGTTCAAGTCGAGCAAAGGCTCTTCTGCTTTCCCCAGGTTTTTAGAATGTGTGTTGTACTTGTCAATGATCTCATTCATACTGTCCAAGGGAAGGAAATGTCAGCACCATAACATGCTATAACCAATCAATAAAGCGAAAATGAAATTAGATACTAAAAGTGAAAGGATGTTCATAATTCTAGGCTGATTTTATAATTCCAAAGGCACAACTAAAAGTATGTAAATCTTCCAAGCTATATACATGATACATATCTGTGCTTTCATTGTAGGAGATATTGTACTAAGAAGTAAACAGCAGTATGACAAAGTAGTTGAGATATTCATAAAGCAACAATCGAAATAAAAGATTATCTAAAACAAGAGTCTGCAATAGGTTCAAACTCAAGGGTCAATGAAACCCAATGCAAAGAAAGAATATATAAGTTGGTCAATGGTCACAAACAGCTTAATCTATAAGTTAGTATGATCACACCCTTCAATGGCGACTAAACCAGACAAACAAAAGAAGATAAAGAACACACTACTCCGCGGAAAATGGCTAATTAGTATATTATCATGTGTTAACGGGGCAACAAGCAAAATATGTGAGACCTCAATAAACAACTTCTATTTGCATAGTATTTTCAAGTTAAACTCCCATTGTTTTGCCCATCAAGACATCAATCGGCATATCCCTTCTCTCTTCTTTTAAATATATTATATACTTATCGAGGCCTTAAATTCAGCAATAGGACCTGGTTCCATAAGATGAACCTACAAAATAATACATTAACATATGTTTGTGTTAAAATTGTGCTTCGAAGTTAAAATTTGTTGTTTACAAAAAGCATATCACTTTAGCATGTTGCAGCCTTAACATTATTATGCAATTACTAGCCAGTAATTTATTCTTGTCTAAAATTTTGAAGGCTCCGAATTCAGCAAAGCAAAGTATCACATCCAAACTCATGCCAAGGCATAACGCTAGGGTGATCATATCAAGCAAACTGATCAATTGATGCAAACTTAAAAACTTAAGATAAAAGCATCATTAGCAAAAGAAAGAGGTTAAGTATAAACGATAACATGATGCTGAAATTGTGCAAAGAAAGACTAGCAAGGATTCTAGGAAGCGATTTGTCTCGTGGATCGAACAAAACTTTTCACTGCAATATGTGTAAAAGCACAACAGAACATAAGAATCTCACTGAAAAACGTATAACTGCATAACCAAGTGGGGGAAATCAAAACCAAAGCATCTACAGGAACAAGCTTACTAACATTCCTCTACATACAAGTTAAAAAACTGATAGGCATTACTTTTAGTTAGTTAATGTTTGCTGATATAGAAGAAACACAAACAAATATGATACTGCAAGATGCTGGAACATATATATAGTGTTAGAATCCTACACTTGACTCCAAACTCCAAAAGTTATTCCCAACAATCACATTCTACCCTAGCCAACAGAATCTGGACAAAATGGAGTATATCGTATAACAAGCATAAGGGCATAACAGGCACCAATTTCAGCATAAGTAGCCAAAAGAAGAATGGATGGCAAACTATAACAGATACAAACAATTTCAGATCAAACAGTAATAGCACATGATTTAGCAAACATAAATATCAAAGCAACCATCAACCAACAGTAAGCACATGATTTAGCAAGAAATACAAAGTTAAGGCCAACAAACAGGCTTATTTGCAGCAAGACAGAATCGCACAAAGCACGAGACCCCTCTTTTGATCACTAGGTAATGCAATACCACCCAGCACCACATAAAATCACAAGGACAGCCGTACGCAATTGGCAGAGGTGAGTGGCGACTTTTACCCCACCGCAGAACTGGGAAGACGCACACCTCCGATAGCAATTAACTCCCACACACTGATACGCACAGCAAACAACAGATGTCACAGTGCTGGCAGAGGCAACGGAGATGCCCCCGCCCCAATCGGAAAAAAGCAAATAAAAAATAATAATCTGCACATGTTGAAACTACAGTTAAAATGTAGATTAAAGATCCCCAATACTCCCGTTCCTATGGACACTGGACGCACCAACGTGCGCGACCTCAAACCTAACCCAAATTAAAACACCGTTCCAAAAGTTTCACTCACGTGTCAAAAGTTCGATCGAAAACGATCAATATCATCGCGTGATCTCTAAGCAGAGATGAAAACATACGAAGCCGAAGTATCACGCGGCCGCCGGCGCGGCAGCCGGGAACCCTAACCAGGCCGGATCTTACGAGTTACGACGACTCGAAAGGCGTGACGGAAGGCGTGAAGAGAGGGCAGCTGGTAGATCTATCGAAACATGGCGGCGCGGGGTGGAAGTGAGGAGGGGTAGACGGGCGCGGCGGGGAGCGTGTATAACTGCATACTACGCACCTGGAGCTGGCGAACTGGGAGAGCTTCCCCGTGGAGGAGAAGACGATGAGCGCGACGTCGGCATCGCACAGAACGGAGAGCTCCTCGGCCTTCTTGAAGAGGCCGCGGCGGCGCTTGGAGAACGTGACCTGCCGCGCCGCAGCGCTCTCTATCCTCTTTATCTCCCGCCGCTCCCTCGCCATCCCCGCCGCCGATCCCTCTCCGTGGACGACGCAGGCACTCGGCCGCCGAGAGGCGAACCCCAGAGGCAACCCTCTCCAGTCTCCACGCGCTTCACGAGGAGGCGGAGGTGGGAGAGCTCGGAGCAGCGAAGCCAACCGGCGGTGTGAGTCGTGGTGTGATGCGATGGGGATGCGGAAGGAGAGGAGGGGAGCGAGAGGAAAGGCGAAGGAGAGGCAGGAAAGGGAATTTGCTCCTATTGGCAGGTCGGCATAAATAAAGACAAATAGTAATGGTCATCTCTCAACCGTTTTTTTAGATGATGTTCAGATCCTCCTCATCCGTCCACCTTTAGCCATCGACAGAGAACTAATCGGATAACTTCGATCTCGTGATCGCTGCCGCTGTTCCCCATGGCTTCTCTCGAGAGAGCCATGTAGGCGGCCTGCTCGACCAGGCTACATGTCCATCGTCGAGTAGTGCAGCGTGTACGTGAGCAAATGAGAGAGGACTGCTGGGGGTGCGCCGGTTAACCAAGAGTGGAGCAGAGGCGCTGCTCCCTCTGTTTCTTTCTGCGTGAGAGGCCGGCGCCGTTTCGTTTTGCCTGGGGGCGCGTGTGCACGGGCATCCCGACGCCGCCCCTTCCGATTGCAGCAGTTTTGTGTGGATTTTGTATTTTTTTTTGAATTTTGTGAACAATTTGACATATATGTCTTTGGTGTCTGGAATCCATAAAAATAATTTGTATTTTTTTGAAAAAATTGTCATATATTTATGATATTCCTAAATTACATTACTCTGTCTAATAAATTACACCAAAAAAATTATTATAAATATAGTAATAAGTTGGTGTAAATATAACTATAAGATAACGTGAGTGGATAGAAAAAATTCAGTTTGTTGGCTAGACAGACCGCTAAATAAACCCAGCCAGGCACGGCCCACGCGATTACCCATGATCCCCGCGAATAAATAAACAATAAAAACTGGGGGAAAGAAAGGTAGTGTGGCTACGGGGCCGGCCGGCCCAGTCATTGTTTATGCTCCCTCGCCACACGGAACGGCGCGGCGGGGCCCCAGCCAGGCACGCAGCACAGCAGCAGGCAGTAGGAGTAGACGAGGTAGGCGTAGGGATGTTGCCAAGTGGGCGAGGCTGAGGATTCCTGAAAAGGAAAGGGGAGTGCGGACTGCGGAGTGAAGGCGGGGTGCGTGGTGGCTGCGTTGCCGGACCAGAACAGTACAGTACAGCCTGTAGCAGGCGGCCGCGTGCGCGGTGACGGTGCTCTCTGCTGGCTGGCTAGCCTGCCGTGGCCCCTGCCTCAGCCTGCACGTTGTGGGAAATCAAGGAGAAAACCGGCGGAGGTGGAGGTGGGAAGGAAGAGAAAGGAGATACTGCCGCGCAGGCGCGTGGCCTTCGATTGGATTGGATTGGATTGGCCGCACGGCACGGCCGCGTAATGCTGCAGCCGCCCGGATTCGCTGTTCCGGCCCCGATTCTGTGGCGCACCGCTGTGCCGCGCCGCGCGCCGCCCCGGCCCCCGGGGATTTGGCAGGCCGCCGGGATCTCGCGCAGATTTGCTCTCACTTCACTAGTGAACACGGTACGGGGTGGTTCCGTTCTGCTTCGGCAGGTTGTTGTGTTGATTTACTCCCGCCTCCCGGGCCTACTGTATGGATACTGTTTGCTTATTCCGTTTAAAATCTGGGGCGTATCAATGATCAATCAGTTCTTGGCAAGTTTATGGTTCCGATTCCACGTAGTGTCAGTACCAAACGACCACACCAACATGGGACGTGGTTGGTGGGGTGTGAAGCGAGAAACCAAACCGATAGATAAGTCATGAGCTGTTTTTTTTCCCTCCAAGAATCCTTTTGCAAAACAGCGCACAGGGTGAAGCTCTTTTTAAGGCTCTCGTAGAGAAACGGAGAGACGTGAAGAGTTGTTCATAAAACGGCTTTGCCAAACAGTTTTTTAAAACGGCTCAGCCTCATCGAGAAAGCAGCTTGTGAGCTGTTTTTTTTAAATAGCTTCACTAGTAAAGTTGAGGTGTGCTAAATAAGATCGTAATACATTTGGTTCAATCAGGTACTTGTATCTGTTGGAATCGTAAGTGGTTGGTCGATGAAGAGCATGAAATTAGTGCCCTCATAGAGCAACGCGAAGAGACTTTTTGGGCCAGCTTCGTTCCTCGGCCGAGAACCGTTACGCCTTGCTCAGTGAGGAAGCAAGCGACCGCATTTGTTTGGTTGTTTTGCTTGGACGTTTTAGGGACCATGCGAGCAAGATTTGGCTTGCTCCTCTAGGAGAGCCAAATTAGCTCGCCTGGCCGAACGAGTACCTTGTTGCTCGCGCCAGTGCAGCAAGGCGTGGCGAGCGAGGAGCCAAACAACTCTTTTTATATTTTTTTCTAATTTATATGAATAGAGATTTTTACGCAAATAACTTTCCATATGATGATTTAGAAAATACTTTCATTGTTAAAAACATAGTGTCACTACAAACTTTCTTAACTTTGACATGTTTGTAAAAAAATATTGAAAAAACATTTGTGTTTCCAAATAAGTTTATTATAAAAATATATCCAGCAATTTATCTAATGATACTAATTATATACTCTTATATATATTTGGTTAAAGCTCAAAATGTTTCACTCCTCAAAGAGTGAGAAAGACATTTTTTATGGAGACCAACTAAGTAAATTTTAGAAAGGCTCTTAAAGATGGTCTTATAGGGTCTGCTTGGTGTGGCAGAACCGTCCGAAATAGCATGCTTTTCGGAGGTGCTCGACTTCCACCGGACACTAAGCACCGCTGAAAGCTGGCTACATCAGACGGTTCCGTCGAACACATCTCAAGGGAGAACTCGAACCATCCACGTTTTTCCTCTATGATCCAATAATGAGAACGAGTTTACAATATTTAGTTCATTTTATACAACCAGAGTTATCAGAAATTCATTAATAGAACACCAAGTTTGGAGTACGGAATTTCAACAACGAAATTAAAATAAAACATCTAACGATAAGATACAAGGATCCGTCTGTGCCCATCAAAAGAATTCTCCACACAACAGCTACTCCTCAAGCTACACCTGCAACAGGGGTAAATAAACCCTGAGTACACAATGTACTCGCAAGACTTACCCGACTAGTGGGAATAATTTCCTAACTCCAAAGAATATGATAGCCTTTATGATTTACTGGGTTTCCTTTTTGCAAAAAAAGATTACTAGTAGTGAATCGTTATTTATATTTCTTATTAGCAGTTCTGATTAGTTCATTAGCTAACCATTCTATGTAAGCACCCATTCTACTTTCAAGCAAGAGTTGAGCAATCAAATCCATTTCATCATCTTTTATATTCCCGTTCTTATTACGGTGCTTGATCGTAGACAAGTCGTACCGTATTACACGGCGATTCGCAAATCAATGTAGCCCAGCTGGGTACCCCGAAACACACGCCCCGCTTGTACCCCAGGCACAAGTAAGACCAACCCACCACTCTCCTATCAAGGGGTCCAGGTCCCCGTCCAAACTTGGACTCCAAGCCCCCACTCCTGAGTCCCGGACTCAGTGTGATGCTTAGACCTCCACCATCACCGCCTCCAATCAATCACCCGGAAGAGCCAGAACCTACGACAAAAGAGCAACGAGCCTTCCCGCTCCCATAAGCAAGTATGTGCTCAAGATAATAAATCTGTGACATGACTAGAATCCAATGGAACGACCGATCCTTATCCAACACGGACAGGAAAAATAGTGTAACCAAGCTATGCCGATCGTGGGACACAACCTATTACCCCCACCAATACCCGTACCATATCCCTATCCGATCTTCATTTCCTTTCACCATTTTTATCATGAGAGTAATAATACTAATCACCTATCGTGAGTAACGGTAGGTTACTCACTCGACCAAAAAAATAAGCATAGCAGCTACTCGCACCTGTACTAGTATGACTCATATGACAGATATATTTATACAGGTGATTTCCATAAAATGCCATGACCTAAATGCACATCACAGATATATATATTCAGTGATTATTCAAAATAGGGACAATTGTCTAGCAGACATCCAAAGTGATGGTCGTTTGCTGGCGGACACTCCGTTTTGATCAGTTTGCCAGAAGACTCTTGTTTGGTGAAATTAGGCCACAGGACACTGTGGACCGACTCTTGTTTGAGTGAAAGAAATTTTTGTTTTGACGTCCCACGAGCCACGCCCGCCTCTCCCTATCATCGACGGCGCCCCACCTCTACTTCTTCTTCCTCTTCTCTCTCTTCTCACATGCTGGCTCCTCTCTCTTCTCTCTGCTTCTCACGGTGGAGGTCGTGCATCCCTCGCCCTTCTCAGAGAGCTCGCCCAGCATCTCTCTTCTCACTTCCCTCACCGCCACCTTCCTCTGCCTGCACGAGCGGATGATGGCCCCTTCTCTGGCCCTTCTCTGGGCCGAGGGCGGGGGGTGGTGGCGCCTCGAAGACAAGCACGGAGCAGGATGGCCCCGACAGCTTGGTGGTGTGGGGAGGAGGCTGCCAGAGCTCAGACTGCTCAGTCAGAGTCAGCCAGAGCTCACCTGACCATTGCCGCCATGAGCCGAGCCCCCGCAGCCTCGCCTGCTTCTTCGCCCCGCCCTTGCATGGGCAAAGCACGGCGGCGTTAGGCACAGGGCACGCTCGTCTCCGGCGTGGTCCTAGCCTGGGCGCGGCCTTCAGCTCTGACGGTGGTGGCTATAGGTGGGAGGAGCAGAGCAAGGCGGGGAAGGGAAGGGGAAAGAAAGAGAGCGAGCAAGCAGAGGGAGAGAGATGGAGATAGAGCAGGGGAGAGTGCGGCGATGGCAGCGTGGCTGGAGAGGGCGGTGGCGGTGCTCGGCGAGTGCGAGGTGAGGGTGTCACGGAGGCTGACGGCGTCAGGCGCAAGCGACGGCGGTCGTGGCGGCGCTCCACTTCGGCACAAGGTCGGTCGGAGCTCGGTGCGAGCTAACCGGGTGGCTCACAGTGACGTCGACGGCAGCGGCTTCAGC